ATTTGGAGGGTATTATACTAAGTGAAATAAGTCAATCAGAGAAAGACAATTATCATATGTTTTCACTCATATGTGGCATATAAGAAATAGCACAGAGGATCATAGGGGAAGGGAGGAAAAACTGAATGGGAAGAAATCAGAGAGGAAGTCAAACCCTGAGAAACTCATGACTCCATAAAACAAACTGAAGGTTGTGAAAAGGGAGGTGGGTGGAAGAATGGGGTAACTGGGTGGTGGGCATTAAGGAGGGCACGTGATGTGATGAGCACTGGGTGTTATACGCAACTAATGAATAATTGAACACTACACCAAAAACTAATGATGTACTACTATATGTTGGTTAACCTGAACTTAAATAAAATAAATAAAAATAAAATTATTACTTTTTAAAAATAAAAACATTCATGACAAAAAGCCAGTCTACACAGACAGGTCTAAAATGAAAGTACAAGCCTCCCTTACACACCACACCTCATTCTTAGACCTTCTCCCCAAGAAAAACCACAGTTACCGATCTCTTATAATCCTACTCAAACATTCTTATGTATCTATCTCAAAAACATTAACAAATTAAATAGGTGCATAGACATACCAAATACACATTTCTGACTTTTATTTTTTTCACGTAAGTATATATCTTGGGTAAATAATTATTTCCGTAGCAATACCTACAGATAGATTTCTTTCTTTTGAAAGGATAAATCATAAAGTTTTCCATCTTCTATTGGAACATCTTTAGGCTGTTGCTGGTTTGCTGCTATTACAATGTCCTATTTTCCCCCTAGAATCCCCCCATTTTCCCCACAATGTTTTTCTAATGAGTGTTGGAGTGTGTATGTTTGCGTGTGTGTATTACAATTCTGCAACTATGAACGTTTGTAAGCCTAAATTTCCAGTCACATAGAACATTCTGTCTTTCTAAGAACAGGGGAGAGCTTCAAAAGAAATTGTCTATTATCATTCTTTTTCAGAAAGTTTACACCTTCATCTTTAGGCATCATTTTCCAAAAATTTTGAGGAAGACAAGTTCTTTTTTTTATTTTTGCTACAAGATTTAATAACATTACCTGAATAACATTTCTCTCCTTTTTGGGTGTTTCATCTTATTCTAGTTTAGCACGGTTATTTTGTATTGAATTTCAGCGAACATTTCTCCTAAAATGCCTTGGGTGTGTGGAAAGTACCTGAGCATTATTCCAAAGTGACTAAGCATCATCTGATATTTGGTAATGGACAAAATAATTGCTGTTGTGTTAGAACTGGATGAAGATGGTGACATTTGAGAAGCTGAGAAGCTTGAATACAGAAGTGAGTGCCTTTGGGAAATTTTCATTTCAATCTAGGTGAAATTAAACACAATGGAATCATGAAGATGAAGATATGGCTTACTGTAACTCCCTCAAATAAATTTGTTTTTGGCATTTGAACAAAGTTTAGAGGAAATACAAAGGTAAGTTTGACCATTCCTCTTTGTTGCTTAAAACTCTGTCCTTTATATTATAGTGCTATTGATACATATAAATCTTCATTCTAAAGTGATGTTTAAGACAACAGATTGACCTTACATGATTTCAGTAGGTTTTCATCAATTTCCAGATTGAAGTCAGAGGCAAGTATATTTCAATTGTTTTAAAAACTGGACTATTTCCAGAATATTTTATTGGAAAGAAATCTAACATGGCAAAGGAAAGGAGTTCACACAACTTTCCCTCAACAAGCTAGTCACTCAGCAGGTGAAAATACAACTACAGGAGTGCCACTTTTAGTCATTGATGGGTAACTCCTTCTTAAACTGACCCTCCTTCACATAACAATATAAAGCACGAGAAGAAGTATTTTTATTTTTTATTATTTTTTTTTAGAAAAAGTAACTTTAAAAAACCCACATCTAAATGAAGTGGAGAATAACCAACAGCAGAAAGATTTTCGGGGTGGAGAGGGGTGGGTGTCAACACTTGGAGGAAGGGAAAGAGTCGGTTTCCTACATTTTATAACCTTTAGTCTGAGACTGACCCAAGTCTGTGTAGTCAGGGGGGTGTCTAAAAACTCTGTTAGAAAATACACAATATTTCTGGCTTAAAGAACCAGAGGTCAGAGTTTGGGGCAACCATACCTTTTGGAAAGTGAGGGAGGAAATTGCAGAAAAGAGAGAGCTAGAGAGTTTAAAGTCTACATCATGCATAATATCTGAAACGTGCTTATGCAAGAGAAACTCAAAGCAGCCCAGCTAAGCCCCAAAAAACTGAACTCTGACTAGAGCTACTATTTACTGAAAGCAACATCAAGTTTGCAGCTTGCATTTAACCATGTGAATTGTCCATTTAAAAAGAAAACCAATGCCATTGGCAGAATATAACAGAATCCAGTCTTCATAACATTAGCTTTACAATGTTCAGGTTACAATCCAAAATTACTTGGTAACACTTCAATAAATAAATAAATAAATAAATAAATACGTAAACAAACAAACCAACCAGGAAAATGTGATCTGTTCTCATAAGAGAAACAATCAATGGAGACTGACTCCATAATTATCTAAATACTGGAATAATCAAGCAATGCTTTAAAAAAGCAGCAAGTATAACAACGCTCAATGAGGTAAAAGAAATATGCCCACAGGAACTAAAAAATAGGACGTATCAGTAAGGAAATAGAAAATATTTAAAAAAGAATAAATAAATAAAAATTCTAGAACTGAAATATACACCTTTTTTTTTTAAAAGATTTTATTTATTTATTTGAGAGAGAGAGAATGAGAGAGAGCACATGAGAGGGGGGAGGGTCAGAGGGAGAAGCAGACTCCCTGCCGAGCAGGGAGCCCGATGCGGGACTCGATCCCAGGACTCCAGGATCATGACCTGAGCCGAAGGCAGTCGCTTAACCGACTGAGCCACCCAGGCGCCCTGAAATATACATCTTTTAAACAAAACTTGCTGGATAGATTTAATAGCAGAATGAAGATGGTGGGAGAGAAGTCAGCAAACTTAAAGATAATTCAATAGAAATTATCTAGTGTGAAAAACACAGAGGGAAAAGATTTAAAACAATAGAGGGGCACCTGGCTGGCTCAGTTGGCAGAGCATGTGACTCTTGATTTCAGAGTCATGAGTTAGAGTCCCACACTGGGTGTGGAGCTCACTTAAAAAAAATTAATAGAGCCACATGGGTATTTGTGACTATATGAAGAGGTCTAGCATATTTGTAACTAGAGTCTCAGAAAGAGATGAGAAAGACAGTGGGGCAGAAAAAACATTTCAAGAAGTACTGAAAATTGCTCACATATGGTAAAGGACAAATTTGCAAATTCAAGAAGATTTGCAAATGCCAGGCAGGATGAATAATGACAAACAACACATTATATATACAGTGATCTGAATAACTGATGATATATCAGAAACAATGGAGGCCAGAAAACCATAGAACAACATCTTTAAATTGTTGAGTTAAAAACATCATCAACCCCAAATCCTATATCCAACAAAAATATCCCTCACGGATGAAATGAAATAGACATTTTAAAATAAAACCAAGAGAATGTACTCCAATGGATCTGCACTAAAACAAAAATGCTAAAGGCAGTTCTTAAGGAAATGAGATCAAGTGGAAAAGTAGATCTTTGAGAAGGACTGAAGAATACTGAGCAAGGTAAATATGTGGGTAAATATAAAAGACCATTTGTCCTCTTAATTTCTTTAAAATACATATCACATTGCAGGTTTTATTTTGTTGTGGATATAATACATTTTACAACTATAATGTAAAGGACAGGTGGTGCGGTTAAGTGCACGTATTAGGTGAAATAGTACAATATTATCTAAAGTAGACACTGAAAATTAGTCTATATATTGTAATTCACAGAGCAAACACTAAAAAATCGTACAGAGGAATAACAAAAACCAAAGACAAATTAAAATAGAATTCTAAAATATATTCACATAAACCAGAGGGAACAAAAAAGAAAACATATAGTAAAACGGTAGGCTAAACCCAACCATATCAATAAATGCCTTAAACAAAAGTGTGCTACACACTCTCTATCAAATTAAAATGTAGAGACTATCAGATTGAAGTTTTTTAAGAGTCCCAACTACATATTGTCTGTAAGAGATGCTATTTAAAATATAGATAGGACTGTAGACTTATTTCAGATTAGGTTTGGCAAATAGCTTTCAAAAGTCCCAAAAGTTCCCATCAAATTCTCTCCAAGTACTATCCCCATTGTATTAATGCTCTATCCTTTAGCATTAACTACCTCACTCATATTTGCTAATTCTCATAAATGCGAGCCAAGAGAATAAAAGCAGTGATCTAAACAAACACATATTCAACATTCTCCCTAAGCCCATGGGGGGAAAAAGTAAAAGATCCAGAAAGTTCTCTCACTGTCTGGTTTCTGATGATTTCTAGAACACAGTGTGAATACAATTACAATATCCAGGAGAGGGTAGGAGGTGTAAAATTGATCAATTAATCCATCAATCAATCAATCAATATCTAGTTCAAACAAAAAACTCTTTTAGAGCTAGTAAGGATAATGTTATCCCTCACTGAAATTCACTTAGCAGGCATTGAAAGGAAAGCAATTCATAATTAAGTAATTATAAGGAATCCCCTGAAATTATAAAATGTGAACGTTCCATGTGGTTCTCTAACACTCAACATCTTGCTTCGCCATTGCTGGGTCCATTTTATATATATGAAGCTGGAAGTGACAGATGTCTCTTAACTAACCAAGCTTTATGATGTATCAGACTAAAAAATTTTCTGGAGTCCTATTTAGTTTTTCACGAGAATACATTTACAAAATAGTATTTTCATTTCCATTAAGTTTTCTTAGAAATAATGCCAGTATCACCCACAATCATACTTTAAGCAGCAACATCATAGCAGCATACTTTAAGACCTAAAAGTGAATCTTTAAAATATCAAATGTGATATATTGCCCCCCAAATAGAGAATTCTTACCCGTGAGGGCAATTATGGATCAGCATCTCCTACTTACCTGATGAAGCCCCTTTCTTCAGGAAACTCCCAGTTCCTTCCAACTCCATCAGGGTGGTTACCAAACACTGCCAAACATGTAATTTTAGATATTTGTAGTAGTTGAACAAACAGAATCATGATTATATTTCACAATTCACATAACTGATTTCTATACCCATACCCAGATCTATAGCTAGTGTCCCTGACAGTTACGGAGCTGTTTTTCTTCCAAGAAGTTGGATAGGGTAGGGGGTACATCCCACTCGTGCCTTTCTATAATAGTTCCACAGATGAGACCTTCTGGTGGTTGATGGATGATGAGGGAGGATAGATCAAGGATCATTTCCTAGGTCTTTTGATTAGGTGTCTAAATTAAAGTCTGGGCCATTCACTTAATATAAAAGAATCACATGGGGGAAAGTGAAGTGTTTGAACTTGGACATATTGATTTTGATGTACAAATAAGGTAGCCTGGAATTCAGATGAAATAACTGCAATCAAAGGAAGATTCGGGGTCATCAGTGCACAAGTGATCACTGAATTCAGGAGCATGGATATGTTCATCCAGGAGACCGTGGATTCAGAGAAGAATATCAAGGATGGAGCCCTGGACACAGCAACGTCTAACGGAGAACAAGAAGGCCAAGAAGGTGATGGGGAAGAAAGTCAGGGAAAGGGGGTTAGTGGCAAGAGTTGTGCTACTGAATTCAAAAGGAAGAGAGAACAGTGGGCAGGACGGTCAAATGGAGCAGAATGAATATGCATTTTCCCAACATAATCTTGTGAATGCTAAACAAGGAAAGGTATTTCCCCTCTTAGCTTAATGCCTCTGGTATCTTTGTCTTTTTCATTTCAGCTATTTTTGGGCTAATTTTTAAAACTAACCTTCAGAATACGTATGTCATGCATGCTTATGTATCAGTTTGCTAGGGCTGCTATAATAAATTACCACAAATTTGGTGGCTTAAAAAATTTTGTTCTCTCATCGTTCTAGAGCCCAGAAGTCTGAAGTCAAGGTGTTGGCAGGGTGAACTCCTTCTTATTGAGTAAGGAAAGGGTTAAGTACAGGCAGGGCGAGACAGGAGGCCCCTGACTAGGCTCTGAAACTATTCCTGGCTGGCAGAGAGGCTAAGATAGAGCGGAACAAGAGATAAGTGAACAGGGGCGCCTGGGTGGCTCAGTTTGTTACACGTCTGCCTTTGGCTCATGTCATGATCTTGCAGGGTGGGGTGTCTTGGATGGAGCCCCGCATCGGACTCCCTGCTCAGCGGGGAGCCTGCTTCTGCCTCTCCCCCTACTCATGCGCTTTCTCTCTCTGTCAAATAAATAAATAAAGTCTTTAAAAAATATATCTTAAAAAGAGAGAGAGACAGGTAACAAACCAGACCAGCTGGCTCTGGATGTTAGCGGGGTTTTTTTGTTTGTTTGTTGGCAACTACATTGTAACCACAGAAAATGATCAGACCTCAAAGAAAAAGTAAGCCATTAGGGATGCTATCTATAGTCTTTGCTCAAAGCAAGACGGCACAAGAATCTCAAGGCCACAGGCTTCCTGGTCAGTTCTCAATAAAAGACTGTCAGTAAAAGCCCACAGTGGCAACCCATTCGGGACCCCTCTCACTCTAGAGAGCTTTTTTCCTTTCCTTTCTATTCTCACCTTCACTTAATAGAAGTTCACTTCACTTCACTCTTTCGTGTCCGTGAGATTCATTCTTCGACTCCAGCGAGAACCCTGCGATCCTGCAACATTAGGGGCTCAGAGGGAGAATCTGTTCTGCACCTTGCTCCTGGCTTCTGTGGGTGGCCAGCAATTCTTGGCATTCTTTGGCTTGAGGCAGGATAACTCCAATCTCTGCCTCAGTATTCAGACAGCATTCTTCCTGGGTGTGTGCGTCCAAATTTCCCTCTTCCTATAAAGACAGCAGCCATTGGATTAATATAGTAGGACCTCATCTTAACTTGATTAAATCTACAAACATATTTCCAAATAGGGTCATATTCTGAGGTTCTGGCTCGACATGAATTTTTGGAGGACATCATTCAACCGAGTAGAATCACAAACTTACAGGTGCTATAGCTACTAGACTTTAGAAAGAGGGATAAATTTAAGCTATTAGAATGGCACACAAAATAAAGAAATTGTATGTGGGCACCTGTTGGAGGAGGTCATTGAGAGGACATGACCTCCCATTGACCTATGAATTGGACCTGGGGAAGCAGAGGTTCCTCACCACCTTCTCTGTCCTTGGAATGTATGTTCTGCCCACAGTGGAACCACTGCAAGGACACTACCTTAACAGAATAATGTGTTATTGAGACCATCTGGACTCTACGCTGACTGAACCCAGGTAAGGCTTCTACAGAAACTCTCAAGATTCTGGCCGGCAGGGGCAGAGATCTATTCATCTTGCAGCTGCCCAAGACAAGCCTTGTATGTGAGCTCCCTTGCTTATTAAACCTGACCCGTACCAATCTGGAGTGGTCTGCCTCTTTCTTTGGTCTTTCCTTCCCTCCCAGCATGGGGTCAGTTTTGAAAGTCACAGCAGGCGTTCCCAAGGTTGGAACCAACAGCATGGAATTTTTTGCAACTTCGCTTCCTTCCATTGTAGTAGGAGCTCAAAGTAAGTTAAGACTCACTTTGTAAAAATTCTTCACACTCAATATTTTTTAATTTGGCATCACATCTGCTCTGAGACACATCCCCCAGAACTGTTTCTATAAAGAAGAAATTAAAATTTTTTTTCACTCACTAAAACATAGAATCAGAAAGCTTTTCCAACCCTTTGGGATCTGGCCTGGTAGTTTCCATAGCCGAGCAGATGGCTAAACTAATGGACACTTTAAAACTCTGGAAGTAATGAGGTGTGGCAAAGGACCATACGTTTCTTTAGACAAAAGTACCTTCTCTTCATTTTCACCAAATATTTACACTGTACCATGGTCTTTGTGGCACCATTAGGTAGTAAATGTATCGAGGCCTAAAACAAAATTCTCTCCCTGGGGTGACACTGGAAGGAGAAAAACTGCACAACCCAGAAGTAACATTTGGGCTGATTCTGACATATTTTGAGCCATTCGGTCAATTCAAGAAGTGATTCTAAGATAGGATATGATTCACGAGCAATCCTTCTTAATCACTCCTGGGTTCCTTCCCCTCCTACAGTGCTTGGCTTTCATGATACTGTCCAGGGTCCCCAAACCGGACCAGAACAGGTCTAGCAAAGCTCCATGAATAATCCTCCAAACTATCAGGCATCCCAGTCCTCCAGACACCAGAACACCACCCTCTCTTCTCTGGCCCCTATCTGTCCTCCACTCTCTTGGGAGTTTCCCACCTGAAATCTGAAACTGGCCAGTACTTGGAGGGCAGGGAGCGACCTAAGAGAGACACTGGCCACTCCGGGGTGGTAGGTGCAGTTTTAATAAGCAAAGGGAACTTAGGGAGGAGGCTCATCTTCAGTGCCAACAAGGTGAGCGCATCCCTGCATCCCTCTGCCAAACCTTACAAGTTGATGCAGAGGCCTGAACTAGGCTTGCTCAGGTATACCCTGTAGGTGTTCTCAACACTAGGACACTACCTCAAGGCTATGACCGTGGAGCAGCCCCTGGGAGCCCAACGGGCAAGCAGAACCCACTTTCCAAGGACAGGGGAAGGGGTGAGGAGCCTCAGATTGTCCAGGTGCAGCTCAAGGGTCAACTGGAGGTCATGTCTTTTCCATGACTTCCCCCAACAGAGCAGTATTAGGATGGTCTCCATTCCAGCTCAAGTCCACAGGGCCCTCCATAGTCCAACACGTAATTATAAAGAGGCGCCAATACGTATTTCAAAGGCTCTGTATTTGAAATACGAGTTTCAAAGACTGGATGGCATTTTTTGAGAGGAAAGGCAAGTAGTAGCCTACATGACTCTTTTGTGAAACAAATGCTTTAGGACTGTTGCTACAGATGAAAGTGTCAGACGGAAGCGTTTCTAGATAGGAGCGAGAACCAGGGTCTTTGAACTGTTCAAACACCTTTTAACTGCTCTGGCCGCCTAATGGACACACAGTCCGAAGTTTGGCAGGAGCGCTTGTCTCCTGCCCGGAAGATTTTCTGCCAGGGAGCCCAGGGTTCTGTCTCTCGCTTGGGATAACAAGTGGCCGCGCGCGGTCACCGCAGCTCCTGGGTCCCGCGGCTGCCCTCAGCGTCCCGCCGCCTCGGGGCCCGCTAGCCCTGGCAGGAGAGGCTGGCGCGCGAAGCTTCCCTCGGCCCCGCAGAGACTTCGGTTCCACTTTTCCTTTCCAGGCCTCTCCCACTTCCTTTCCCACCGCTCCCCGCCCGTCCGACCGCCAAGCCCGGGGCCGCACCTCCGCGGGGTGTCGTCCGCCTCCCGCGAGGTCCCAGCCGCTTCCCCCCGGGGACTCAAAGGGGGAGAATTCCTGTGGGTCCCAGGAGTGCCAAGAGTGCGCAGCAGGACGGGAAATTGCAAAAGTCCTCAGCCCTCTGCCCTCCCCCGCGGTTTTCCCGTAATGCCCGCCCCTCGGCGCTCGCCCCGCAGCTGATTCATAGCCTGGGCGCGGGGCCGCCCCTGCACGTCCACACCGGCG